TCTTAACACCATTAACCCCCAAAACTAAGGATTTTTATAGTCTGATTTCAACAACAGAACAAAGTAAAAAGCACACACCACCATGGACAAAAAGTTAGAAGATACAGTTACCTCTCCCAAAATAGGAGCCTTATGTTTTGCTATTTAAAAAAAGGGTCTAGACTCCCAAGCAATGAGACCTTTCATTTCTGTCCTGTGGTTTTCTAACCTTTGGTCATGCTAAGGTGAAGCAATACAATTCTGCAGGTGAACTCTGGCAAATTTTTAGAGCCCTGCTCATAAAACACATGAAGCATACTCCTAAAATTAGGTCCATGTTAGAAAGGCAGAGATTTCACTGGAAGCGAGACTGCTCCCACCTTCTTCCCCCACCCCACCCGCCCCGAGGCATTCACTACACACATGCTGTCTGCACACTCACATTCTGGACATCACCACTTACCTGAAACAGCATCATAGAACTGCTCTTCACTGAGGATGCTAAGAGGTGGAGATCCCTTAACCAGAGACTGCTCTAGTTCATGGTGCTCAGTAGCAAGTGTCTCTAATGCTTCTGACAAGATCTTGTTTTTCTCCTGCTCATGCTCCAGTTTCAAATTCCTCACCTATAAGTAGATACATGCATGAATAAAATCTCATCTCTCTGAAGAATGTGTAGCTGGAAGCTGTTCAGAAAATAGACTCTAATGAATAAATAACTAGCAAACAGCTGGAACTGAAACCACATGGATTAATGAGAATATTACAGTACTTGTGTGATGACAATAAGGTTGTTAGTCAGCATTTTTAGTAGCTGAAAAATCTGACACGTAAGATCTGACAGTATCAATCACAATTCCATAAGTGAATTCTAGCCAGATAAGTGAAAAACCTTAAAACTGAGGGGAAGCATTTACGGCTCTACTTGGATGATCCTAACTAGAACCAGTAATCAGTTTCTACAAGCACCAAGCTCCTTCTACTAGTCTGCTCCAATTTAGGCCAAGCAGCATCACCTAAATTGAATTACAGAGCAAATGTGAATGCCAGCTACAAATAACTGCAACTGAACTATGAGCTGAAAACATTTAACCCTGAAGATTACAGGAGGAGGTTTAAAAAAGAGATTCCTCTGGTAACTGACTTTAACACTGATATAAACAGCCCTCCCGCTGAACTCCCCAAAGAGTTTGCCGAGGTGCCAGAAGTTAACAAAAAGAGAAGCCCAGCCACCAGATGGTGGACACTTTTTAAAACCCACACATGCAATGGGCTCCAGAGCAGATGATGTTATTCATGTTTTGAGTTCAGTACTAGTAATGGGAAAGCAGCATATCCTTCCTATTTCCTCTTTTTTTTTTTTTTTTTTTTTTTTTTTTTTTTTTTTTGCTGGTGCTTCCCTGCCTCCTCTGTCTGCCAGCAGAGGGGAGAGAGCTGTAACGGAAGGCTCAGAAATGGCCACTTCTCCCAGCCCATCAAGGCTTCAGTGTGTTGTCTCTCCTTCAGTCCCCAAACCATCAAATCTTTCCCTTTCTCCTTTCCAGTTCCTTTTCAAAAGCATCCCCAACCCCTGCCTTGTCCTCTAGTTTTCTCCCAACGGTCATTTTACAACACTAATTCCCCCTCCACTAAGAACATGCAAGGGCATGACAATTAATCTCTTGGAACAGTTACAGGGACAACTTACACATATACCAACATTACTTTTTTGAATCTAATTTAAGAACTGTTCGTATGTCCTCTCTGGTTACAGTTTACATTAAAGCTTTACTGTGGAGGCTTCAGCCCCCTCAGTTATAACCACTTCTCAAACAGTGGATTCAGAGCTGGGCACAAAAGAGGCTAGTAAGAAGATATTAAAAGAGATTTGCCACTTCCAGAAAAGAGCTTCTATGCTGGTAGAAACATATCCTCTAAAGAAAGATTTATTGAAGAAATTTTCACCCCCTCAATTGTGTCAAATACTAAATCAGATGTTTTGGCTGCCAAGCTCTGAGTATAAGGGGGAATTCAATTAAATGATAATTAAAAGAGTATAAAATTGGGTTGCTAATTGAAAGCAGAAAAACCAGTAAGTCACTTACTGTCTAATAGTTTTACTCTGAACAAAATGAAAAAAGTCTGGACTAGTTACTGTCGCTTTCATTTAAAGTTCACTCTGACAGTACCAATGAAGCCAATTACTGCAATGTTTCATACAAATCAGACATGCCACTGCAAAAGATCTGCTATTAGGCAGTTTCTGCTAAATATATTTGGTATGCTGTCAAATAGTTATGGAACCACCCACTTAGAGAAACAGCATCAGTATTTTACTCTCCTGATACAGGGAGGATAAAGGACTGAAAATAAAATGGTACTTCTCATTCTTATTAAACAGCAAAGTAAAACCAGTTATGAAAATGCTATTTGCAAAAACAATGTTTTTGCAAGATTGAATTAGATGTCATTATGCTCTAATGCTTTTGTTGGGTAAGTGATTTGAGCGATTTAAATCTTTATCTAAAACTTACAGCAAATTGAAGGGAAATCAAAACAATTAAAAAACCCTGACAGTCACAGTTGTGTGACTAAAGAAGCAACAACACATACAGGCCTATAACCACGCCCGTCCCAAAAAAGTATTTTCTTGACTTTAAGGTTCCTCTGTCCTATCATAATGTAGAGCTATTCAGAATAGCAGAAGGTACACTACAAAGAAATTCCCTTCTTGTAAAAACAAATTCCAGCTTTACAGTAAGGTTCACTTTCCTGTGTACTGTCAGGCATCCTGGTTGCCAGACACTTACTAATACAGCAATTATACACCAGTAGGTAACAAAAACCCAAAGCTTTTCATCTGTTCCATAAGTACCTCAATGCTAGCCAGAAGCTAAGGAATGAAGAAAACCCACTTCAGTTTGTTGCTTGAAACTGTTGGGATGTTCATTCGTAACTGAATAAAGTGGTTTTAAAGCAACCTTAATTGATATTTGGGGCTTGAGATGAAAAATTATAACATTTCTGTCAACAGTATGGAGCATATGGGAGGGACACACTGCTCTACAATCTCTACAGTCTACCTCTACACTAGTCATTTCTTGAGGGCTGTTGTCAGGAAACACTGCAACAACACCATATCCTTAAGCACCAAAACAGTTTCACTGTGACAACATGAGAATGAAAAAGGATTTTTAAAATGGTTCTACTACCTTTATTTGATTGATTTTGCCTGTAGAGAAGCAATGCTGGGAGAGAGAAAGCTGGAATAAGCCTGACATACTCAACAATACAGAAGAAATAACCTTGCTTGAAATAAGCAGGGTTTTTTTTAAACACAAAGTAGCTTTAAGAAATACCTCCATTATGGCAGTAATAAAAGTCAAGGTGAGGAGGTACACCTCCTAAAACCTACTTGCAGTAAACTGAATGTAAAGGGAGGATGTTGTTGTTTTGTTTTCTCAGAATCACATACTCTCTTCCCAGTTTAACATGAAGCACTGCAGGCAGATTGGTGCTGCTTTCAGAGCATAAGTTTATTGAACAATGTAATTGACCTACTGTGATAGGTTTTCCCAAAATGTAAGCAGCATGTTATGCATAATTTTGCCATGCTCTATTTCTCATTCACAAGACATGGTCCTGTTCATTCATGGTCAATGAACAGAATTCTGAGGTGAATTAGTCCATCTACCTTGCCACTTCATCATTTTTGAAGATGACATTTCAGCTTTATCACTTTTGCAAAAGATGTTTCTTTCCCATTGTGTTTTTCTTCAGTGTCTCACCACAGAAACATCTGCAAGATTACAGAAGGAACTTCCAGACTAGTTTTAAAATCCTACACAAAAAGTGTAGGATTCATGTAATAAGCAGGAAGAAGAGCATGAAAGAACAAAGTTGAGAAGCATTTCATTCTATTAAACTGGATGCAGAGAGACCAGTATTTTTCAGCTAAGTATCACCTGATTTTATGAAGTTGCATCAGTTGAATTCTAAATCATTTTATAAACTGACACAAATATTTATGTAATGTAGTAAATCCCACACCAAAATGATGCAGATACTTGTGTACACAGTTCTGGAAATCCAGTCTGAGCATGAAGAATTATTGGAAGAATCATTTCATTGACAGCTGGAGAAAGGCACAGCTTGTAATACAGACAGAGTTTCTGTACCTTTCATGGTGGTGCCTGAGCTGAGAAAGAGACAGATGGCAAATTGTACTGGGTTCAGCTCCTCATCTTCCAGCTATGGAACGGCTGCCACCTATTTGATCCCTGTCACTGGTGCCCACAATGCCAGTGCCACCAGCAGCATTATGAGCTTTCCTCTGAGGTTTACACAGAAAGTGGCACTGAGTGCTCAAGTGAACCCAGCATGAGGCCAATTGACTTCGCAATGCCCAACTGGCCAGGCCTCCTACCTTATCCTTGTCAGGAGCTGTTCTGCACAATAGCAAATAGCTATCAATAAAGCTGAGCTTGTGCTCACACTGTTAGACAACGACACTTTAGATTGGTCTTGCTTCCATCTCTAAAGAGAATGGTATTACAGTCAAACTTCAGATTTACTATTTCTGATGGAAACTATCTACCCTTGTCTCACAGAAGTAAACAATCACTCCATCATTATCCTTACAGCTATAGACACAGCTATAACCTCGACTGAAGTCTTGGTGGTTCTCTGTCAGTGTATCTAGGTCAGTGCAATAATCCACTTGTAAAAGTGTACTTCTCCAGCTGAAGATGTTTGATATCCATGGCCTGGTACCTAGTTTCACTTTTGGTTTAACTGAATGGAAATCTGCTTCCAACAGCTTCCTATAACATTCCTGTAAATGCTACTGTACCATTAGGTGCTGTGAACACCACATTGTTAGTTTAAATGTAGAAGTGAGTTATTTTAGCAATCAGACTTCTCTTTCTTTTGTTAAAGGAAAGTAACAAACTATTTGCAGATACTCCTATAGCCTTTCCATGTTATCTAAAATCCTGCTAAGCACAAAACCATGGTTTAAAATTTAACTTCTTCATTGTGTACTACTGGCAGAAACTTCACATGTCTATTCTAAAATATCAGAAAGCTTATCTGTGTATAACAAACACCAGTCCCACTCCATTCTGTACCCTCAGTCTTCCTTAGGTAGGTGGGAGACCAGTAACAAGCACCAAACCACTCATTTTTTCTCTTTTTTATCCCCTTTTTTCTTTTTTAAAGGCTAAAGTCTTGAACTGTATCAACACAGCCTGTAACCAAGGCCTCTCTGTCCATCCTGAAGACATCTTAGTACAATACACAAAATACTTGCTTTGTTTGGTGCTGGATGCCTTTAATTTAAATTAATGCACAACAACAGTGGCACTTCTGTGGGGTAGGAAAGGATCACACCACTCTATGCCCAGCTTATAAATGATCATCTCAGCAACATGCTATTGCAGCTGCAAATAAGCACTAAACCCAACATGTAGTGAGCAAGGCATAGAATACAGAAACCTCAATAATATGCAGTGCTACATGCTTTCAATGTTAGAACAGTAAATGAAAAGACAGCATACCTTAGATCCTACTTCTCCTGGACTGAGAAAGGACCGACTTCACAACACTGCAGTGTGATTTAGCTGAATTTTATTTCCAAGCTCTCAAC